ACATTTTATACAATGAAAAATCAGTCAACATTCTTTTGTGTCACCCGCAGCTGGTATAGATGAGAATCTGGTGAAAGAAATGGACCCCTGTGAAGGTCCCTATCAGGTAATATGCATTTTGGAAATGATTACCAACTAGTAAACTCTCTGTCCTTCTGTCTACAACTTCTCTTTGTCATTGCATAGGAAATGTGTAGTGAACAGCATGGAGAATATTCATTGGCTACATGACCCTGCCAGTCTTTCCTTTATTTCCCATTGTTTTTAGAAGGCAGTTCTCTATTTTCTTTCCTTTTCTTTCTTCTTTTTCTCTTTTCTTTTCTTTTTTCTTTTCTTTTCTATTTTCTCTACTTTTTTTTCACTTCTCTCCTCTTTTCTTTTCTTTCCTCTTCTTTTTTTCTTCCCACCTCTTTTCTTTTCTTTTCTTTTTTTCCTTTTCTTTACTTGTCTCTTCCCTTCTCTATCCTTTTTCTTGTTCACTTTTCCTTTCTTTTTCCTCATCTCTGTTTTTCTCCTTTCTTTTCTTTTTTTTTTTTAACTTAGTCTTTCTCTTTCCTTTTCTTCTCTTTGGTTTGTTTTGTTTTGTTTTTGTTTTTTCTATCTTATTTTTTTTTAATTTTTTTATTTTTGACAATCTGTGTTTACTTTTTTCGTAGGGGGGAAATATGTCTTTTATTTTCCTGGAACAGCCCTTGTCTACTCGTTTTCCTGGAGTTAACAGTACCAGCAGGTGCAAGGTGGTGTTCTCTTCGCCCAAGCACAGGCCTATGTCTCCTCGTGTGGTTCATGCAACAGTGAAAAACTGTTATACTTTAAAAGTCCGTGTCCCTCGCTGTCCAAGTGAGTTTCCTCTTAAGCATGTCCAACTAGGGGATTTTAACGATGAGCGGTTGTTAAGCAGTTAACAGCTAATCTCTCTGACTTTGTATGTGCGCAATGATTGGTTAACTCAGTGGGTCGTATGTTACTGTGCGGCCCACTAAATTCTAACTTTTGTGTGAATTGAAATCTCCCCACCCCACTAAATTCTAACTTTTGTGTGAATTGAAATCTCCCCACTCCATTTGAACCCAGAGATATATGTATATGAAATATTTCATTATAACCTCGAACTTGGTTAGGAAGGGGGGGGGGGGTATAAAAAATGACAAAGATGTCATTTTTTTTTTTCTTTTTCAAAAAAGGGAAGGGGCCAAAGGATCCCCAGCCCCTCCCTCTGCGTGGTCTCTGGAGAGGCAGTGAATATCGAGTTCTTTTATTTTCGCAACAATGCAGAATCAGATAAAAACCGGACTTTTTTTGATATGGTTACGGGAACATCTTCAAGTTTTAAGGTAATAAATCAAAGCTTGACAACGTCATATGAATACTTTTTTCCAGGAATTCCAGGAGAACAGTTGGTGCGTGGGAAGTTGACAGTTAAAGTTGTTGTTAGGACGCAGGAGGATGCCTACATTGGCGAAACCAAATACACCTACAACTCTAACCTGCTGAGGCAGTTTGAACAGTGCGTCAAAGCCTTAGATGACGAAGATATGGAGCTTGACTGTACTGGTTCCCCGGTTGAAAACCACGTTACCATGAGCCTCAGAGGTACGTTCACTGAGTTAGCACTTTAATCCCTAAAATCTGACTCATTTGCATTTATCCCTTCTGGTCGATTAACATATGTAGCCTGTGTGATGACGTGCTGGCCTAGCTGCGCGTGTTTTCTACGTCATAATCAAACATTTTCCCCTCCGGCCCGGCCTACTTCAGCCAGTAGGTCTAGATAACAGTAGATATGTCACGAATTTAAGAAAATATATGTCATTAAAGCCTATTGATTGAATTTCAGAAAGGATATGACATTTTTTAAAAACATGTTTCGACAGGTCTTCTGTTTGTATAACAAAATGCTGATTGGACAAAACAAACAATAAAAACAGAACAATGTGAGCAAATTACACTTTAAATTCAACTTTGTACTTTGTATAAATCAGAACTGAAGATGACAGA